AGAGAGAGAGAGAGAGAGAGAGAGAGAGAGAGAGAGAGAGAGAGAGAGAGAGAGAGAGAGAGAGAGAGAGAGAGAGAGAGAGAGAGTAGGTAAAGTTAGTTAAGGAGCAAAGGGAGATGATGGAGACGCATTCAAGACGGAAGGCAAAAGTTCGAGGATGGCTGCCAGCCATCTTACAGAACACCTATGTGCAAACATTACTGATGGTGCAGGTGCTTCTGGTGGCATATATTACATGGACAGGTTGGTGGCAACCGGTTCCTTCCACTCCTCGAGATGAGGAGGATAAGCAAGGCCGTCTTCGTGGGGGAGCAACATTCGGGCGACTTGGGGAATCGGGTGCAAAACAAGGATTTGGATTGAATGGGGTTGGCAATGTGATGAATGAAGATACTTGGCAGGGTGACGCATGGACAAGGCCTAAGGAGCGAGTAGTGATCGAGCTGGAGGGGGTTGAGAGAAAGGAAATCAAGACCGAACAGCTGGAGGGCAAGAGGAAGTCTGTGTGGGACAAGATTTCTTTTACAGCGGGTTCGCCTGGCGACTTCAAACCTCAGTCAGCATCATCTTGGAAAAGCCCTAGACTCGCCGGCGAAAGTCTGGATCGTTCTCGGAAGATAATTTGGAGGTATGAAGATCTCCAAGCATATGCAAGAGCATCATCGACGGTGAAATTCTCTGTTGCAGGGGGGGGCAATGGTGAAACTAGGAGTGTTGGTGCGGACGGGTCCACAGCTCATTCGGCGCCCAGGTTTGAGATAGTAAACGTGCCACTGAGCAAAGAGGAGCAGTCATGGGCAGTTACAAAGGATCGAAATTGGACGGACCTATCTTGGCGGCTGCTGGATGAAGTGTTCGCACATTGCATAGAGTGCAGCATGCCCAATCTGGTCCATGACAAGCACGGGACCGCGGAGATGTGTGACGAGTTTCGAATGGACAGGATCTGGTGCGTGAGGTATTGCCCATCGCGTACCAAGTGCATCGAACGGTACAATTGGAACATGCAGAGGCTGAAACGCAACAAAGGAAAAATTGATACCTGGGTGTTACACAAGCAGCATGAACCTTACCTTGCTGTCTTCCGCAATGCGTCTGTGTCGTACAATGGCGAGGTCTACAACGATGAGGTGGTTTTCGACTCACGCGGGCGATGCCCGCGCTCGGGATCATTGCCACGTGTATGGCCGGATATTGCTCGGGAACGTCATTTCAAGAAGATCTTTGTCACAGATTACACATGGAGGGGTACATATCATGACTTGGCAGACATGAGCGCGCGCCTAACTCCGTACATTGATGTCCTGCTTGAAGACCCCACTATCATGATACATACGACGGGCGACCTTACGGGCACAGAATACGAAAACGACCCCTACACCATCCACCAACCGGGCGATAGGTTGAAGACTATTATGGACATGTTTGGCATTAATCGCCTTCGTTTGATCACGGGCGACGTTAGCGGAGACCTCATCATCGCGCCTGAGATCCACTGCCTTCCTAACGAATGGCTCTTCGAAGTGTACGCATCACGCTTATCTCGGATGATACATCGTTACCTTGTCGAAAACGGATACCGTGCCGGCTTGCCATTTGGAGAAGGTACGATCCTTGTTATCAAGCGAAGTGGCACTCGGAGAATCAACAATCACGATGAACTGATCGCAGGCATTACAAAAGAGTTCCGAGGGAAGCGCCTTGAAGTGTACGATGATGTCTACCCGCTCTCTACGAAGCAGATTTGGGGCCTCTTCTACTCTGCGGACGTCGTCGTGGCGCCACATGGCGCGGGGCTGACCAACATGCTTGCTGTCAGAAGGGGTACAGTGGTGTACGAGTTCCTGCAGCCGCACCAGTCTGTGTGGGACCCCGCAGATATAAACTTATGCTACAGGGATCTGGCAATCGCAGTGTCGGCGGATTACTATGGCGACTTCCCAAAGGTGTTCCACCGACCGTCGAAGCGCTTTGACATTAAGAAGATGGAGTGGGAGGAGCCTCCAACGTCAATGACCGTCGATGTGCCGACAACCATGGAGCGCCTGAAGAGGATCATGAAGGACAGAGGAATCTTGTGATAAGACAGTCTCCGTCGACTTGAAGGCGAGTCGCGGTGGCGGGGGGGTTTCGCAGTGTCGGCTGTTACTATGGTGACTTCCCAAAGGTGTTCTACCGACCATCGAAGCGCTTTGACATTAACAAGATGGATTGGGAGGAGCCTCCAATGTCGACGACCGTAGATGTGCCGACAATCGTGGAGCGGCTGAAGAGAATCATGAAGGACAGAGGGATCTTGTGATAAGACGGCCTCGAGCGACTTGAAGGCGAGTCGCGGTGGGGGGGGGGGGGTGGTTGATGGTGTCATGTCGCCTGAGTTTTGACAACCAACAAGTCTCCGGCCATTTGAAAGCGAGTCGCAGTGGCGGGNACCAACAAGTCTCCGGCCATTTGAAAGCGAGTCGCAGTGGCGGGTGGGTTTTGATGCTGTCATGTAGCCTAAGTTTTGACCGACAAGTTTTGCATCTCATGAACGAAATCCGATGATCCTGTATCATGAGGCAAACTTGAGAATCGCTCGACCCTGTTTCGCAGTAGACGAAGTTCTGACGTAAATGCAGAGGATATGGACATGAAGGGAAAAAAGTTCCAGGGGCAGTTTATTTGATGAGTGAACAAGGGGGGGAAATGATGGTATAGCACTCGCCAGCGGGTCGTAGAGAGTGTACCTGTGTTTTTCTTCATAAATGGACACAGTAGCCTGCTATTGCCTGCCAAACTGAACAGACCAGTTAATATGTAGAGATGTCTAAGTTAGACTATGACTGTTAGTGACTGAACAGACCAGTTTGTCTATAGGTGTCTTAAGTTTTGATTACTGCCATTGTCTGACTGACTGCCATAGCACTTGGCAGGTCATAGAGAGTGTATGATGGTATAGCACTCGCCGGGAGGTCGTAGAGAGTGTACCTGTGTTTTTCTTCATAAATGGACACAGTAGCCTGTTATTGCCTGCCAAACTGAACAGACCAGTTAATAAACTTAATATGTAGAGATGTCTAAGTTAGACTAGGACTGTTAGTGACTGAACAGACCAGTTTGTCTATAGGTGTCTTAAGTTTTGATTACTGCCATTGTCTGACTGACCGCCATAGCACTTGGCAGGTCATAGAGAGTGTACCTGTGTTTTTCTTAAGCTGCCGGTACGCGGCCCCAGCCTTGCTGAAAAGAAACTCGTCGCCTAATATCTGCTGGAAACGTCTGGTGCCAGCGTTCCATCGATAAAAGAAATCTGTAGTCGGCGTCTCTTTTTGGCCTCTGATGCAGCCCCGCGGCCGATGTGAGGAATGTACGGGTGGTTTAAACAAATGACGGTAGCATGTCATTGCTTGGCGGACTGAACAGACTAGTTTGTGTAGAAATGTCTATGTTTGACGAATAGTACAACTGACTGAACGGACCGATTTGTCTAGAGATGTCTAAGTTTTCATCATAGTAACTGTCATTGTCTGACTGAGTGAGACTGACTGCTATAGCACTTGGCAGGTCGTAGAGAGAGTGTGCCTCTGTTTTCCTTAATAAGCGAACAGTAGAGCAAAGGTTCCGTCAGGCTGGACGGAAATCAGCCATTGAGTGTAAAGGCAAAAAGGAGCTTGACTGCAAGACTGACTCGTCGAGCAGGGACGAAAGTCAGCCTTAGTGATCCGACGGTACCGAGTGGAAGGGCCTTCGCTCAACAGATATTAAAAGTTACTCTTCATTGCCTGCCTGACTGAACAGACCAGTTTGACAAGACTGACTCGTCGAGCAGGGACGAAAGACAGCCTTAGTGATCCGACGGTACCGAGTGGAAGGGCCGTCGCTCAACGGATATTAAACGTTACTCTTCATTGCCTGCCTGACTGAACAGACCAGTTTGACATGTGTAGAGATGTCTAAGTTTGACTACAGCAACTGTCATTCTCTGACTGACAGAAGATACCAGTTTGTGTGGAGGCGTCTAAGTTTTTGACGGCTGTGATAATGCCGACTGACTGGGCGGACCAGCAGCTTGTCCAGATATGTCTAGTCTGACTGCTGTCATTGTCCGCCCGACTGTACAGACAAGGTTGTGTAGAGATGTCTTGAAGTTTTGCTCGATTCACACCGGCACTTTCCTCAACGTATTGGGACCAGAGGTATGGATAGATGCTGTCCAAAAAATGACCAGTGTGACTATGCCCTGACGAGACAGGCTTTGCAGGGAACAAAACGACTGCTGTCATTGTCCAACCGACTGAACAAACATTGTCTTGTGTAGAGATATGTCTAAGTTTTGCTCGATTCACACCGGCACTTGCTCAACGTATTTGGACTACAGATATGGGTAGATGCTGTCCAAAAAATGACCAGTGTGATAATGCCCTGACGGGACAGGCTTTGGAGGGAACAAAACGACTGCGGTCATTGTCCGACCGACTGAACAGACAAGGTTGTGTAGAGATGTTTTGCTCGATTTACACCGACACTTTCCTCGACGTATTTGGACCAGAGATATGGGTAGATGCTGTCCAAAAAATGATCAGTGGGTAGATGCCCTGGCGAGACAGGCTTTGCAGGGAACAAATGGCTGTTGGTATTGTTCGACCGACTGAAAAGACAAGGTCATGCAGAGACGTGTAAGTTTTGCTCGATTCACATCGGCACTTTCCTCAACATATGTGGACTACAGCTATGGGCAGATGCTGTCCAAAAAATGATCAGTGTGACTATGCCCTGATGAGACAGGTTTCGCGGGGAACAAAACGACTGCTGTCATTGTCCGACCAACTGTACAGACAAGGTTGTGTAGAGATGTCTAAGCTTTGCTCGATTCACACCGGCACTTTCCTCAACGTATTTGGGCTACAGCTATGGGTAGTTGCTGTCCAAAAAATGACCAGGCTGAGTGTGACTATGCCCTGACGAGACAGGCTTTGCAGGGAACAAAACGACCGCCGGGGTGGGATGCGGCGCCATTTTCTTTACTTCGCTGCTGAAATCGTCAGTTTCATCGCCCTAGTAGATGGTCGGGCACCCTTCATTCCGTCAGCCGTTGTCAGTTCCGCCGCCGGGGTGGGAAATTGGAAGTTTGGCTTCTGCAGGAGGTKGTGGGATGCGGCGCCATTTTCTTTACTTCGCTACTGAAATCGTCAGTTTCATCGCCCTAGTAGATGGTCGGGCACCCTTCATTCCGTCAGCCGTTGTCAGTTCCGCCGGCGGGGTGGGAAATTGGAAGTTTGGCTTCTGCAGGAGGTTGTGGGATGCGGCGCCATTTTCTTTACTTCGCTACTGAAATCGTCAGTTTCATCGCCCTAGTAGATGGTCAGGCACCCTTCATTCCGTCAGCCGTTGTCAGTTCCGCCGGGTCCGTACAATCGGCTCAGTCCCAGTGACGCATCTTGGTGCTGGTTTCACTCAAATCTGGATGTGGACCCCCTAGTCATGCATATCCATGTTGCGGTTATAGAATTGGTGCGAGTAACTGATCAGATCAGTCCCAGCGACGCTTCTTTGTGCTTGTTTCTCTGCAGCTGCAATCGTGCGGCTGACCTCCTACTAGGCATTCGTGTTGCGTTTGCGTTTCTAGACTTCGCGCAAATGAGTACCCGTACTATCCGATCATTTTTGTTTTCAAGGGTTTCCTGCAGAACTTCCTTCATTAGGGAGTGTTGGTAATGGATGATTGATAATCTGATGAATCAGATGTGGTTTTGTACCTCTCTCACTTGCCTGCCTTGCGTTTTTGCCGCACGAATCTGGTAGCCCTAGGATTGACGAAAATGAGTAGTACCTGTACTTTGTGAGTTTATAGCTCTCTCACTTGGCTGCCCTTGCTTTGCCGCACTCATCTGGCAGCACTACTGTCGTCACCTGAATAGAACGCCCGGTCATTATGACTGTATCTAGACTGAGAGTTGCACCAAATACGGCTATAATGACCAGGCGTTCCATTCGGGTGAAGACGGTAGGATTGGCGCAACTGAGTAGTACCTGTACTTTTGTGATTTTATAGCTCTCTCACTTGCTTTGCCGCACGAATCTTGCAGCACTAGGATTGGCGAAAATGAGTAGTACCTGTAGTTTTTGAGTTTATAGCTCTCTGCCTTGGGTGCCCTTGCTTTGCCGCACGAACGAATGAGTAGGACCCACACTTTGCGAGTGTATAGCTCTCTCACTTGGCTGCCCTTGCTTTGCTACACGACTCTGGCAGCGCTAGGCTGATCTTTCGTCAATGTGAGGAAACACGGCGTCTTCACCGCTCGGCGAACAGAACACACCCAGACATTATAGCTGCATTTGGGGCAACTTCCAGTCTAGATGCAGCGATTATGACCGGGTGTTCGATTCGGGTGAAGACAGTAGGCAGGAACAATGAAGATAATTATCCAACGTGAATAAACGAAGTCAGCCCGGTGACAATATAAGTCAACATCTTCTTATGATGATAATTTAGCGAAACGTCAACCAATTTCAAATTCGGCAAACTTCACGGTCACTGGCATTATGGCATGCCTTTTTTTTTTTTTTTTTTTTTTTTTTTTTTTTTTTTTTTTTTTAAATGCAGGCTGCCTTCTTCTCAAATGGGCGGGACAGTTGCATTTACTATGCTTTTCCTCTCTCAATATTTATCCGTCTCACACTAATTTGAGGCAAGCGCACTCGATCGACATAAGTTATTTGGTAAACAAAACTGATCAGACATGCTTCAATACTCGTGATACAACAGACCGACTCTCAAGTCCACCTGGGGCGCCAATCTGCCCTGATCACAGCATCCTCGGCGCTAAACCCTGAAACCTAGAACCCTGAACCCCAGAGCCTAAGCACTTAAACCCTCAACCCTAGACCATAAACCGTGAACCTTATACCCTAAACCCTATACCGTGAACCTTATACCCTATACCCTAAACCCTAAACCCTAAACCATAAAACCTTTGACCCTACCCTAA